AGGGCCTGGGGCTGATTCTTACAGCACAGGAACTGTGTGGGAACAGTTCCAGGCAAAGCTGTCCCTGTAAATCAGTTTCTCGGGTATCTGTGGCAGGGACAAGCTGATGGGCACAGGTGTTGACTTGGGTCAGAGAACAGTGAGGGAAACTGAGGCCTGCACTTCCTGGGTGGGGTTGAGAGAACAGGGGGAGGCTGCACTCAGACATGTTGACGTTGACGGGTGGGGAGAAGCCAGCCTCTCTGGATCTCTCTGAATGTGAGCACCCGAGGTCCCCACTGAGCGTCCCCTCATGCCCACGGCCTGGGAACCTTTCAGTGTGAGAGCACCGGTCCCCTCCCACCAACAACTACAGGCTGAGCTTCTGGGTCACAGGCCTCAGGGTCTAGGCACCTGATGTGCAGGACTGTGCCCCTGTCCACACCTGCGCAGCTCCTTCCCTGAGAGAAACCGTGCACCCCGAGGCAATCTCCTTGTGGCCTGGGAAGGGGAGGAGGACAGGAGGGAGCCCTTGCTGGGACCTGCAGAGCCGGCGTCCTCCAAGCCCAGTAGGTCTCCACAGAGGCTGTGCTGACTGTGACAGGAAACCAGCCATCAACTTCCTTCTCTTCCTGGAGCTTTTCAAAGAGGACAGTGATTCCCAGCTTGCATCTGGAGAAGAGGGCTGAGCACCTAGGGTGTCCGTGGAGGAAGAAGCATGGCTTCCTGGGTTGGACCCCAGGGCACACACTGATGCATGTATGCACAAATGTCACACACATACACACACGTGTGTGGGTGCACACACATTCACAAACATCCTACTCGTAGGGGCTATTTGAAATGTAATTGGAATACAATCTTCCTATTTCTATCACTATTCAAGGATAACATTAGGAAACAGCTGCTTCCCATAATCAGAGAGCTACAACTCTTAAGGCACCATGGAGCTCCCAGAGCCAGGCGCGAGATAAGTACAACTTAGCCAATGGTGGTTTTGCTTACTTTTCAAAGATTTATTTCTATATTTTAAATTGCAGTTATTTATTTGGTACAGGGTCTTGCTATATAGTTTGGGCTCAGAGATCCTCCTGTCCCAACCTCCCAAGCGCTGGGATGATCAGTGTGAGCCAGCATGCCTGGTTTCGGTGGATGGCTTGGTGCGGGGCCATCACAGGTCGAACCCAGGAACTTGTCCTTGGCAGGCAGGCTCCCAGACCACCAAACTATCTCCCTGCCCCATTTTGCTTACGTTCAAGTCCTACAGAGTTATCACCCCAAGGACACCTCTGCCCTTTCTAAGACAATGATTAATTCTTCCCCCATGTCATATGATGGTAGCCTGCTTAGTTCTTGGAAAAGTAAATTCTGCCTAACAGTTAATGACAAAAACATAAGTGAGCAACTATAGTGTATAATGTGAGGTGCCTTTTGAACTTCCTCCTGAAAAACTACTTATGCCGTTGTAAGCTCGAGATGAGGCTGGGGATTTGGACCTGCACGGCCCCCAGTCGGGTAGTGAAATGCAGCTGTCCGCCTTCCACAGGGCCTCCCGTGCTGCATCTCCCTCTGGTCTGGTCCTGAGCCTCACGGCACAGCAACACCAGTGCACACCCACACATGCACACACAATGCACATGCACACACACAAGGCCCACACCTTCATACAAATCCATGTATACCTGTATGTGAAGGACACACAAAGACACACACAGCCCTGCAAAACAACAGACGACCATGGCACACCCACACAGGATACATAACATACACATGCACATGTGTCACCTATGTATACACATCACACAAACCTATGAACACACTTGTGCAAGACACACAAGCCTCAGACACAAAAAGAGATGCACATACCCATAGTGCACCTGGACATTCTTGCACATGCAGCCCTTCTGGACCAACACAGACACACACAGCCAGGGCACTTCACTTGCCCTTTGTCCATGCACGCTGTGCACACACAAAGCACACATACTCACTCATGTACACACACTCCTGCCTGCGTCTCACTGCTAAGCCTAGGAGGTAGGGACACAGAGAAAGAGGACCAGGGAGAACCAAGGGAATAGTGCAGCAGCAGAGGGAGGGAGAAGCTCACTTCCCAGGAAAACAGGAAATCTTCCCAGAGCCGGTTCTGTCCCAGACTCAGATTCCTCCCAGTTGCCTAGAAAACTGATCCTCCAGTCATTTAAGCAGAGTGACCCCAGGATGTGGTCTCGGGAGGATTTCCAGTGAGTTCCCTGAGGCCCACATGAACTGCTCCTTGGTTCGTGATTAGGGCGCAATGAAGACCATGGCTTGGGCTTCAGATTCATGTGGAGAAAATATTTATTAGAGCAGGAGGGCAAAACCTAGGCAGAGCAGTGGGATCATCGTGAGGAAGATACACAGACAAAAACACTTGAAATTTACAGAACCATCCCCTGCTGTCTACCTCATCCCTGGCTGTGAATCTGCAGGATCTGTTTAATTGCTAAATTCTGGTCCCTTTACACTTGGGGGAAAGGAAGGGTGCAGTCGTCTCTTCTGAAGACCCTTCAGACCTGGCCTTGCGGTGTGTAGGGTTACAGTAGTTACTCTGTGGCTCTGGGATATGGTTATATTGCACATGACTATTTCTGTGAGCATTGAGCTTTTCTTCTGTGTGTTCTCTGGTGTCTGATGAGGCTTGATCACTGGCTAAAGCACTGCCCACCGTGCCTGCAAGCATAGGGCTTCTCACCTGTGTGTGTTCTCCAGTGCTTAGTGAGGTTTGAATGACAACTAAAGCCTCGCCCGCAGTCCCTACAAACATAGGGCCTCTCTCCTGTGTGTGTTCTCTGGTGTCCAGTGAGGTTTGATCTAAAGCTAAAGGCCTGTCCACAGTCCCTGCAAACATAGGGTTTCTCACCTGTGTGAGTTCTCCGGTGCCTGGTGAGGAGTGATGGATAGCGAAAGCCCCGCCCACAGTCCCTACAAGCAAAGCGATTGTCCCCTGCTTGTGAAGGCTGGTTCCCACTGAGCTCCCATGTGTCACTGGGGCCTTGCTCACACTCTCCACTCCTCATGGTTGCAATATGCGAGCTTCCCCCCTCAACAGGCAGCATCTGGCTTGTACTGAGCCCCTGCGCTGTCATCCCCTCACTCTCCCCAGACCTCGCCATCTGTCCCTGGGGAGTGTTGGAGATGGCCCTTAAAATCTCCCTCTCCCTTGTCCTTTGGGGCTCAGGGCTCGGTCTCCCTTGGGCCTCTCCCCCTTCACCTCCATCATTCTGGGCATGAGGACGGGACTGCTGCTGCTCCCAGAGCAGATCCCCCGGACAGGCATCTTCTGCTTGGAGCATGTTGCTTGTAGCTGTTACCCAGTGGATCTGAGAAAAGTGACCGTGGTTTATATAGCAACTGAGGAATTTCCGAATGGAGAAGGCCAGAGAGCGCAAGGGACACAGGTGGATCTCTGCCTTTGGTTCTGCTGAAAGAAGAAATTCCTGCTCAGAGTGCAGGTCCTCACACTCCCTCAGGCCTGACAGCACCGCACAGCCCTCCCCACCCCACCGAGGGCATTCCCCCCACAGCTCTTCCCACTCAGTGCTGTCCCCACCAACACCGTCTCCACTAAGCGATATCTCCAAAAGCACTGACCCCACAGGCACTGTTCACACCCACAGCTGTCTGCACCAAGCACTGTCCCTAGTAAGTGCTATCCCCAACAAGCACTGTCCCCACCAATCTTGGCCCATAGTGCCTCTCCCATGCCGATTTTTAACAAAATCCACAATGTTGGCCTCAGTGGCCTTTCTGACATGGCAAGCAGTCCAGGGCCCTCCCTGGGCAGAGCAGACAGCCTCAGACCTGGGACCCAAAGAGCTGCATGGGCACTGAACACAGAACACACCATCTCCTACATCATTTCCTGTCTCCCCTGGCCACCCTCCACCCAGGTCCCTCACAGATCCTGGACCCATTTCCTGACTCCTGCTGTTGCTGATCTATCCCACTGAGAAATGGCTTAGGTACTGTTGTCCTCAGTGGCATTTTTGGAGGGGGGTACAGGGATTGGTCCTGGTCGACCCACATGGGGTAGCACAGCTATGGGAGGATATGGAGGGCTAATAGTGCCAAGAGTGAGAATCACGTGCAAAGTGACACATATGATGATTCCCCTTTGCCCTGGGTCCCTATCAGGAAGTAGGATTCAAGCAGGATAGGTTGAGTGTCCCTGTGCTCTTTTTTTTTCAATATAAAAATATTTTCTTTATTTTTTATTTTTTTATTAAATTTATTGAGAAACAAATAGCAATGAGACAGTTTCAAAACCAATTAGTAGCACAGTTTCAATAATTAATACATTGCATATTGTTGTCTTCATAGTGGTTATTCATAGTCCCTATGCTCTTGACTAAAGGGCTCTGGGTCCCATGGCCACAATATGGCCAGGAATCTCTTCTGTCCGGGGCTCCCCAAGTGATCAGGTGAAAATACATCCTCCCTGGGCCTCACGCCAAGCACTCACACTGGTCCTAGGTCACACAGTCCTAGCAATTTCCAATGTGGGGGAAGTCCCATTTCACAATCTGTGCCTGTCAAGCACATTCCCTCTGTCACCTACCGTCCCCTGCCTCCTTCTCAGCTGGAGACTGAAGCAGCTTCTTATGGCTTTAGCTCTGGGGGCTAATTTCCAAACATGCCAAAGCATGAGCCTGGGACATAGAATGGACAGCTCTACAACTGTTTGCACCCACGTGTCTCCACAGGAGTCACAGGCCCCTCAGGTCCAATCCTGGCCTCTTTCCCACCTCACAGCGGCTGCACAAAGTGCTGCCCACATGGGCAGCCCTTGGCCCAAACCCAGATCTCTTAACTTCCCATCCAGGAGAACCCTTCCCAACAGGGTACACATGCACTCCTGGCCCACCAGACTCCTCAATAATCTTTATTTTTTTCCAATAATTTTATTGAGAAACAAATAGCAATGAAACAGTTTCAAAACCGATTAGTAGGACATTTTCAATAATTAATACTTTGCATATTGGTGTCTTCTTACTAGTTATTCATAGTACAAGATGCAGACATGATATCCTGTCCACAAACACTATTAGTACAAATCTATTCATTGAATTAAGAGAAAATAGCTGTATATCTATCCTAACTATTTTGAATATACAGATACAAAATGATCCTTCATTTGTATGCCCCTTTTTTGTTTACTTTTGTCAGAGATGAATTACATTTCTTGTTATATAGGTCTTGCTTTATCTTGGTCTTAACCATCCAGCAGAAAACTATAAAAACTATGTATAAAAAGTGAAGACATTTTAATATGCTGAGCTGTAAAAAGCTCAAGTGAACAACTGACATTGCCAGTCCTATGGATAGCCCACTACTATCATGGACTACTGGAATATATTGGAATATTATTCTGAAATCCTGCATACTCTTCCCTGGGGGGATTCTTCAGAGGCTCAGCCACTGCCCTGGCTGAGCACAAGCTCCCACAAGTGCGTGTGTCCCCGTGAAAGAGCCAGTGCCAGCAGCACTCAGCAGGGGGGTCGACTTCTTTGCTGCGGGTTTCCAGGTTCTGGCACAGGGTAGGAACCCAGGTGACAGCTAGGTGGCGCAACAAACAGCCTGTGGCTCATGCACACTATTTGGGAACTGAAGGGAATTTTAGAAAAGCACTGCATAGGCCAGGAGAAACCAGATCTGTGAGGGCGCTGCCTAGCTGAGAACTTCTACTTGGGCTGCAACTGTCCTGCATAACATTTATTGGATATTTGTGCACTACATGCTTAAAAAGCAGATGCCGAACAAACATTTTGAAGGATAAAATCTTTCTAAGTGTCAAAGGCATGCAAAACACATCTGTCCGTTTGCAAGCTGAGCATGAGACATTTCACTGACTGTGGACTGCACCTCAAGCTTCTTATGAGTGGAAGCATGGGAATTCCCGGGGAGAAGCTTCCTCCTTTCATGCAAGGAAGCCCAGGGGTGCCTACCTCTCCCATCCGCATACTGTTGCTTCCACTTGCTGCTGCATGTGAGGCCCAGCTCCTGGCCATACTTGTTCCCATACCAGACCAATAGGTCAGTGCCAGGCTTGATGGCCTTGCAGGTGCGGTAGAAGATCTGCCCGTGGTACTGAAAGGCCACAAGGTTCTGCTCCTCCTCAATGCAGGCACAGTTCACATACCTGGGGTTCAGGGCAGAAAGAAAGGAAATAGCTGATCCCTTTTGAGTCCCCATTAAATTGGTGTCCATCCATCCCTCGAGTGGTAGACACCTCCCTGTTGTGCACCGCCCCTACTCCTGGTGGCACCTGCTGTTCTCACCTGGGTCTCTTCCACAAGGCCTATGACCACTTAGCTCTGAGTCCTCCTGTTCTCCCCACCTAAGTACCCAGTGTTCCACGGCCCATCCCAGATTTCACAAATACCCAGCCTGGGGGAAAACCCAGGGACCCTTTGCATTTCTAAACTGCAAATAAGTGTGGCGTTCCCCCATGGAAGTTAGTGCCAGGTAAAGACTCTGCTTCTTGGTAGCCTCTACCACATGACCCTGGCCCAAGTCATTGTGGGAGATTCCCCCATCACATACCCAGGGAGGTCGCCTCCTCTCCCACGTGCATGTAGGCAATCTTCTCTGCCTTAGTACCATGACTCAGAATGGCAGCAGTGTGTCCCTATCCCCTAGTCTCTCTGCTGAAGCAAGAGCCCCTCTCTCAAATCACTTAGGCAGTCAGCATAGGGACTCCCAATACTCCTATAGTCTACTTCTCCCCAGGCTCAGGACCATTTTTAGTGTCTCTGAGGCCCTGTTAGCCAAAAGGTCCCTTGTCACTTCCCTTCCTGCTCTGTCCTTGTTGAAGAAACACCAAATTACAGTGAAATATTTCTGTAGTAAAACCTGTGTGCTCTGCCTCAGGCCCTCCACAGGGACACAGACCTCTGGTCAGGAGGGGAGTCCACTTTCTAAGTGGGAGAGTAGCAATTAAGTTTGAGAAGGGATAGAATCCACTAGAGAGGGACACATTTCCTTTGGAACCCAGAAGCCTGGTGTCCTCACCTCATCCAGTTGGCATGGGATGTGTCCTTGCCGTCCACATACTTGTAGCTCTGTCTCCCTTCAGTAATCTATGTTTTGGGAAAAGGAGTTACTGTCCTCATTTGGGAGGGACGACAGCCACCAGCTGTACCCAAGGCTACTGTCACCCCCTCCCTTCATGCTGATGCAGCCTGCCTGCCCAGCATCTGCAGACAGGCGAGGACACCACAGAGGCTGTATCTACTCCATTTCTGTGCAGCCCTGTCCCACTCAGCATCTTATCCTGCACCAGGGATTTTGTCGTCTTCCAAGGCAACTAGGACACAGAGCTGAGCAGCTCAACCAAGCTCGTGGAGCAGAGGGACACTGGAGGGGAGCAGGGTTCCAGGAGACGGGGAAGGAAGACCCCTCACCATCCAGGCATAACCGCTGTGGCCCGCCTCTTCCTCCTCTGTGATCTGACCCTCGTAGGGGCCAAAGTGCAGATCCACAGGCAGGGTGGAGTTCCCATTCCAGACTCCGAGCCCAGCCCCTGGGATGCTTGAAGGTCCTATCCTCAGCCCGGGGGGCAGCGTGTGCAGTGCGCGGTCCTCAAGCCCCACGTCCACCACGCTGTCCTTCATGAATGTAGGGGGCCCATGAGTGGGACAGCTGTCGATGAAGTTGGTCTTGCACTTCTCACAATCTGAAGGGAGCATGGTGGGGATTAGGAACCATATAATCTGTGTGTATTCCTCACTATGGGGAACTACAGAGTGAGCCCACCCCCCTCCCTCTGCCCTCCATTTTTCACTGCTTGTGCCTAGAGTGAGGGGCGCCTTGAGTCCCAAGTGACTGCGTGCACACCTAACTGTGCCTTGTCCTTAGGGAGCAGGCCAAGAGGGTCACTTACACAGGAAGTCGTCATCCTGGGACTCGCTGACCTCCTCATATGCACGATAATTTCTTTCTCGCAGAGTGTACAACTTCTGCTCCACCACCTTTCTCTTGGCTTCTAAGGTGAATAACAATGGAAGATTTGAAATAGGTCACCTGGGGTATTTGTCCTTATTTCTTCAGATAACTTGAAATATCCTACTATGCAATTCTCACCCATCGATCCCTATCCTCTCAATCCCCGTGTAACCCGCAGGTCATATTTCTAGCTGTTGAGGGCCATGTGTAGCCCACAGGGCAGAAATACCTCTGGGATGCTTGAAGGTCCTATCCTCAGGCAGCACTAAGGATGTGTGGAGCTATTGCCACAGATGGCTGTGGGGACAGTGTGCAAGTATGCATGCTTTATTTTATATTGTCCTTACTGCTCCCAGATGACAGGTGGGCTATGGGCCCTTATGCTTACTTTTTTTTTGTGGAACCAGGAATTGAACTCAGGACCCTGTGCTTCCCAGGCAAGCGCTTATTCTACTGAGCTATCTCCCCAGCCCCCCTTATGCTTATTTAGTGTTTGGCATTTAGAAGCTCAGAGAGTCTATGAGAAGTGCTCAAGTTCTCAGGGGCCCTATGTGGCTGAGACCCAAGTGTGTGTTGGAAGCCAAATTCCTTTTTCTTTCCAAAGGGACTTTTTTTGGTCTTATTTTTACTATTTTATTTTTTGGTACTGGGAATCGAACTCGGTGCCTCATGCTTGCTAGGCAGGGGCTGAGCCACTGAGCTACATCTGTGAACCAGGAAGCCAAATTCCTGTAAGCTGCTCACACTGCCCAGCAGGCGGCCCAACAGTTCTGTCCAGCATGAGACCCGCCCACCCACAGTCCATGTAACAGCTCTGGACCATCCACAACATGCTTTCTAGGGGGCCTGGTCTTACCTCTGAGTCCCTCCCCTCACCTGGCCACCGAGGCATCCATTCTGCGTCAGAATCCTCAGAGTCATCCAGTGGGGCTTGGCTGGTTCGCCTTCCACACTGCAGCAAAGCTGGCCGCTGGGCTCTCAGACCTGGGAAGGACACAAAGCTTCTGTGTGAAGGGGAAGGACATCTTGGGAGGAGGGACAGAGGCACTGCCCGTGGAAAGACACAAAGCACAGGGGGCTGCAGAGCGGAGACAGCCTCGGTGCGTGGCAAATGCAGCTCTCAGCTCTGCTCTGAGCCCATCAACAGAGCTTCCCTGGAGCCTTCACTCCTGAGGAGAGGGGGCTGCATGCTGCCCTCACACAGAACTGTGACACAGGGGCCTGCAGGGAGGCTGGCTTTGTGCCCTAGTCTGGGCGGGGCACAATCTCTCCTCACCTACAGAGAGCATCTCGCTGCAGTTATTTTTCACGCTGTAGTTGGGTGTTTTCTGAAACTCTCCCATGTTGGCCCACTGTTCCTTGGAGACATATCTGGAAATGTCCTTGGAAGCATCTGTGACCTGGAGAAAAGAGACTCCGTGTCATCTGCTAGCACAGGGCACAGACAGAGGCTCCCCTTCCTGCCAAGGTGCCTGCAAGGCCCTGCCAGGCCCGGGTGTCTCTGGGGAAGCCGACTGTCCCTCTTTCCACGTGCCTCAGACCTGGGAGCATGGCTGGCCCAGCTCTCTTCTGTCATCATTGTGACAGGAGGCCAGTTCACCCTAAGATATAGCACCTCATCCCATCGGCTGGTCCCTCTGTCCCTGCAACACCATTGGGTGGCCCGGCCTCATCTTTCCCTCTGCGCATCTACCTTGGGCCTCTGCCTGTCTCCTGATGAGTCCTCCTTCGAGCTGTCCTCCGAGGAACTGTGGGCACTCACGGGGCCTGGACACTTGGCAGGGCAGGGCAGGACAGAGTAGAGCAGGCCCTGCAGAAGGAAGAGGTGGGGGCCGGTTTCCAGCTGGGTCCACAGAAGGATCAGGGGACCTTGGTGGTCACTGCTGAGACGCTGGCAACTGAGACCTGCCAGCGAGGGTTGGGGTCAGGTTCCACTCCTCATGCAGGCAGAGGGAGCCAGCAAAGTTGTGGAGCCCAAAACCAAGGCGTTGGCCTGAAAAAGCACTAAGCCTGACCTGGCCTCTAACCCTAACCAAACCTATCCTAACCCCAAACCTATCTTAGCCCTTGCCTAAAACCTAACCTAAAGTAAGCCTGCCTAGCACTCAGCACAACTGTACAGTAGGCCTCATCCAACCCCAACCCTAACCCGCTCCATAATTCCAATGTAATCTGATCCCCAGGCCAAATTGAACCTCAACCTTCATTCTTGCCCTAACCCTAAACCCTACGCCAAACTAACCTAATGTCTGTCACAAAGCTGAACACAACTCCAACCCCAGCTCCCCCAGACTTTTTCCAATCCTAACTCAACCTGTACCCCAACTGCAAACTGTACCCCAGCACTGACCTAAGCTAACCCTCACTTCAACCATAACTGCAACCTCAGCCCTAGCCTTTGCCCTGACACTCCTCTCCATAATGGTTCTAACCCCACTAAATAGTAGGGGTGTTCTGAGGTCCTGAAAGTTACTGATCTGGGGTCTCTGCCTGGGATCCCTGAGTTGGGGTGCAGGCTTGGGGCCCTGCAGTCGGGGTCAAATGGGTTTCCAAATCACGATATGGGGGAGGTACACTGTGGCTGAGGCTGTATTCAATGCCAAGCATCTCCGGATTCGCAGGTGGGGGTGTGGGATCCTTGTGGTGATGGAATCGGGGTCCCTGGGCTGACTTGGGTTCCTCTGGGAGCACGAAACTGTGGACTTGGGCTGACTCTGGGGTTCCTCAGAGGGGGCCTTGGGGTCCTTAAGCGAAGGCATGGGGTTTCCAGAAGAAGAGATATGGAGGCTCCTTAGACGTTGACCCCTTTTATGAAGGATGTTTGGGGATCCCCAGGCTGAGGGATCTGGATATTTTGGGGTGTGAGATATTTGAGGTGAATGGGCTGGCAAATTGAAGTTTGCATGGGTGGGTGGAGGCCTGGGGAGCCGGGTCCTGCTGCTCAGACTTGGGGTTCCTCGAAGCATTTTAGGGTAATTGGGCTGAGAGATTTGAGCTTCTGGGGTGGAGATACTTGGCGATACTCACACTGAGGGACATTAAGTCTCCTGGTGAGAGTGTGTGGGGGTCCTCAGGACAAGATTGGGGTCATTTGGGGTGAAGAAAGTTGGGCCAAGAAGTGGAGGTCTGCTGTCCTGGGGTGCACCATGGACCCTGGGGGCTTTGAGCTCCATGGCCGGACGCGGAGTTGGGGTCCCTCAGGGTGGCGGGGTTGAGTTCTCTTGGGGTGTGGAATTGGAAGCTGGGTAAGGTAGGAACTGAGACAAACGGGGTTCTCTCCATGCTGGGAGGCTTTTCACGTACCTCCAGGCAGGTCCTGTCCAGTTGCAGCCTCCTTCCCACGCTCCTGGACTGGGACAACACAGCCCCACCGAAGTCACTGTACTGGAGTGGATGGAGGTAGCCACTCAGTGAGGAGACAAGAATGGCTGTGAAGGCCTTCGAGACAGCCCTGAGGGCTAAAGCGCCTGTTAGGCAAGCTTAGGGACGCACTGGGACTGTGGTTTCATCCCTGCACCACGTGGCCCGCACTGCGCTGCGCGGTACCCCACCCCAGGCAGGCGGAGATGGCCATGGAGTCTGGGCTTGGTGGCGCATGCCTATAATCCTGGCGGTGAGGAGGCTG